AACTTAAATCCTGTACTCTAGTCGTTTACACTCTAACTCTGTTTGAGTAAATGACATAAATTATTATTAAATAATACTGCAAATACTTCTTGACTTAATTTATAAACTTTTGTAATTTATAATAACATCTAATTCTTAAGGTAAATTATAAGCCTTTCTTCACAAGTTCTAACCCAAATTAACTCTTGGCTGTGTTTAATTTCCATATCATCTTGATAATAGTTTCCAAGGACTTTTATTCCTACTTTCAATCCTCAGGCTTCTTTGTCGTCTCCAAGCTTTGAGTAGTCGGTGTGACTGTAAAGCTGTTGACAATAGATTAAAACTTCAGGTAAATTGATCATTTTAAAAGAACATACTAATTACTGTAATTATTGACATTTCTTCAATGATATATTACCAAATTCTCAGAACTTTCATTTGTAACACATACAGTATGTGCTCACCAGTAAGGAGAGTTAGTGTTTTTATCATGCTTACCTTAACTTGTTCATTTTGTTTGATATTCAGCCAAGGATGAGGGTTGTTTCTCTTGTCCCAGCTGTCAAAAATAAATAAATAAATAGATTAATTATGATACCTTTTAATAAAAGATAAATAATTAATTAATAGCTTAATAAATCAATTAATACCTAAATCAAAAGATAGCTGTTAAAAAAATGATATTTTTATAGCAGAATTATTTCAATCAATTAATTGCTATGCTTTTTCTTTGTACACTCTCTATATCTAAAGAAACGTTTTTTGATACCAAAACTCATATTGTTCTGTTGCTCAATGTCCTACTTCCTGTTCGATACTTGATTTTCTGTTGTAATGATTATTGTTACACAAAAGTTTTGTTTTTTTTCTATGATTTGCAATCTTACATTAAAATTCTCCAACCCAGTAGAACTCTTATTCCTTTCCGATACTGGTGGAATGTTATTATTTCCTCAGTGAATCCGAAACCCACCATTTACAGTTTGACCTTTTTTTTCGCGGAATCGCGTCCGCGCTATAGCCGATTAAATTAGCATTCAAGTCACGCAATTCTATATTAAT